ATAGAGGTGCAAACTTGAAATTTGGAATGTTAATTAAGGAGGTGATTTTGAAAGCGTATACTCATGAACATGAAAAATTCTAACTGTACTAAATTTGGTACAATTTGAATTTGGAGAAAAGGATGAATCTGAAATTCTGAAATTTTAAATTAAGATTACCGCCGGAGTGTAGGATAGCGATATGTAGGTAATTTTGGACATTTTGTACTTATGAGTACGAAAAGTACTAAATGGTACTATATTTGGTACAATTTGGATTTGGCTGAATCGATAAAGCTGGAACACTAGAAAGTTTTAGATATGTCTACCAATGTGTACTAAATGGAACTTAATTTGGTACAATTTGGATTTAGGTGAACAGGTAAAGCTGGAATACGGAAATAAGGAATAAAATTACAACTACCTTGAATAATTGAGGTATGTTGGTAGTTTGGGAAATTCGTACTTATGTGTACAATCTGAATTTTGGGTGAACCAATAGAGCTGGAAGCCTGAAATTTGAAGTTAAGATCACTTTTGTGGTGTAGGATTGGGGTATGTAAGAAGTTTCGGAAATTTCTACAAATGTGTACTAAATGGTACCAAATTTGGATTTAGGTGAAATTTGGAAATTACATTATTGTTGGAGTTTAGGATTGGGGGTATGTATGTAGTTTTTGGAAAATTGTACATATAGGTACTAAATTTGATACAATATGGATTTAGAGCTGGAATAGAGCATTGAGTGCATAATTGAGGTATATAGGTAGTTTTGTGAATTCACATTTATGTGTACTAAGTGGTACTAAATATGGTGCAATTGGAATTTTGTGAGAACCAATAGAGCTACAATTCAGAAATTTGGAATTATGATTCCTGTTGGGGTGTAAGATTGAGACATGTTGGTGGTTTTGGAAATTTGTACTTGTACTGTGTACGAAAAGTACTAAATCAAGGAAAAGTTGGAATCCTGAAATTTGGAAAGAAAATAACTGCTGAAGTTTTGAATTGGGGTATGGATGTAGTTTTGGAAATTTTTGCTTATGGATACTAAATGCTACTAACGTTGATACAATTTGGATATAGGTGATTTAGGTATGTGGGAAGTTTTGGAAATTCGATCTTATGATTGTTAATGTAGGAGTCATAGAAATTTATATTAATTTGTACTAACTGATACTAAATTTCGATTTGGGTGAAGTAAGTATTACATGGGTACAAGGGGTAATAATGATACCAAATTTAGTTCTGTTGCAGTTAGAATTGGTGTGTAGTGTTGAGATATGGAGATAGTTTTGAAAATGTTTAATATAAGAGAATATAGGTATTAAATGGTACTAAAAGTTTAATTATGGTCGGAATTATATGGGGGCTACCCTGACGCTTAATACAATATGTATTCCAAATAACAGCTAATTCGGTGGAAAAACGTGTCCAAAATCCCTAAAATACTGGGCGTACCGTTATATGGGGGCCACCCTGAAATTTGTGACAATATTAAGTAGAGCTCAGAACTGCAAAGTGTCCACAATCCCCAATGGAAAACGTGTCCACAATCCCCAAAATACCGAATTCTGGGGGCTACCATAAAACTTGGGTCAATAATAATTTTTGGTACAAATATGTGTTATTCATTGATACAGGCCACAGTTATGGACCAATCTTCATGAAATTTTGCATGTAGGATGGGTTCTGGCCAATGAAGACCCCTATTCTTTTTTGGAAAAGATCGGTTAATATTTAGGGGATGAAATGGACCAAAAACTTCTTTTTCGTTTTTTTTGGTCGCTCCAGAGGCCGCAATTATGGCCCAAACACCTCGAATTTTTGCATGGAGAAGGGGATCGGGCCAAAGAATAAGTAATTTTAGCGGGTCAAATGGACCCTGACTTTTGTGTGAAAAATTACAACATTTTTATACTATGCCGTATATATTTGCCCCTGAAGGTCCTAGATCCGAGGAGTTGATAGTATGTTCAAGAGGAGTGGTTGACCTTTAAATTGATACCAATTATATGGTCGTATGTATTCGGATGTGGGAGTTACACATAAATATTTACGGGTGCTTAGGTATTGTTATATATTTAGTAACCCATTACCACACTAGAGGGCGGAATTATAGCGCTGATTGCTTTGAAATTTTCCATGAGATTCCAGTTATGGTGAAGGACAACGCCTTTAATTTTCGGCGATGATAACATAATCATTTTGGGATGAAATGGAACGAAAACTTAATTTTTTGTGTTTTTTTTTCGAGTCGATCTATAGGCCACCATTGAAAGCCGAACATCACAACACAACCCACGGAGAAGGGAATATGGACAAGTAATTAGAAGGACTGAATATTGGTAATATTTTTTAAAAAATCTATGCCTTGAGAACATATGTTTTTCAAAATGGACATTGAAAAAATATTTTTTAAGAAATCCACGCCTTGAGAACATATTATTTTAAAAATGGTCATTGAATTTATTTTTTTTTTTTAAATGCACGCCTTGAAAAAATATTGCTTTAAAAATGGTAATTGAAAAAATATTATTTAAAAACTTCACGTTTTAAAAGTAATATTCTTTAAAAAAATGGTCATTGAAAAATATTTTTTTTAATTCACGCGTTGAAAAAAATATTCTTTTAAAAAATGGTCATTGAAAAAATATTCTTTTAAAAAATAGTCATTGATAAAAAATATATATTTTTTTTTAAATTCACGCCTTGAAAAAATATTCTTTTAAAAAATGGAATAAGAATATTCTTTAAAAAATCCACGACATGAAAAAAAAAATTCTTTTAAAAAATGGATATTGAAAAATCCACGCCTTGAAAAAATATTCTTTTCAAAAGTGGTCATTGAAAAAATATTCTTTTAAAAATGGATATTGAAAAATCCACGCCTTGAAAAAATATTCTTTTAAAAAATGGATATTGAAAAATCCACGCCTTGAAAAAATATTCTTTTCAAAAATGGTCATTGAAAAAATATTCTTTAAAAAATCCACGCCTTGAAAAAAAATCTTTAAAAAACCTTGACAAAATATGCTTTAAAAATGGTCATTGATAAATGTACGCCTTAAAAAATATTCTTTGAATTAATGAAAAAAAAAAAATTAAAAAATCCACGCCTTGAAAAAATATTTTTTTAAAACACGAACATTTATAAAATATTCTGTAAAAATTACACTCCTTGAAAACATTATTTTGAAAAAGGGTAATTTAAAAAATATTCTTAAAAATATCAACGCCTTGAAAAAAATATTTTTTTTTAAAACATGATCATTGAAAAAATATTCTTTAAAAAATCCACGCCTTGAAAAAATGTTCTTTTAATAAAAGGTCATTGAAAAAATATTCTTAAAAAATCCACGCCGTACATTAATCGCCTTTGAAAAAATATTCTCCAAACGTTTTAGAGGTAGTAGCAACTTATTTTCAAACACCCCTCAATGATTACCATTCTTTAATAACTCAATATGTGCACAGTATAGAAATCAAGTCCATTACTTGAAGTATTGTTATCCTTTTTACAACAACAACATATCCTACAATATCGACCTCCAACGAATAAAATAACTACCGTCCGTTAGTTATGCATTTTATGAACCACATTTATTTGAATGCATCAGATCAAACAAATACATGTTCGATACAACAGCCGGCTGTCATAAAACATGTTCGACGCAACCACATTGCATCGAACATAATACCAGATGACTAAAAACTAACAGGCACATCAACGAACCACAACAGTTCGACATTGTTCGTTCGCCAGTCAACAACGCTGAATGGGATTACGCGCACGTTTTGCTATACAACAACCACAACAAAAGCGGGAAATTTAAATGTTTATCGATCGATGTTTATAATAAAAAAATGCTATTGGAAAACAGTAAATTAATTAATAATTTTTAATAACAATCATTCAAGTAATTAAGTTCATCAGTCAATTGATCGTGGTGACGATTTTTAATGTTCGTTAATTTGAAATGCGTGTGCGGCAATTTAGATCTTTGAGCCCATCATTACATCCAAATAATAAATGACAATCTCACAAACTACCATTCCAACCTATCTACCAACCAAGCGACTACTACTGCTTGGTTAAGTGATCTGTTTGATGTAAATAATCTGATGCCGATATCTGGCTGGCTGGCTCTTTTGTCGGCATTTGTTTTTTTGTAATGAAATCAATCTGAAAGTGTGCATTACCTCAGACCGAACTGCACTCGTCTCTAATCGAATTGACGTTGATCACTTAGATGATCAAAAGAAAAGTGTTTTTCATTTTGGGGATTTATGTGCACACCAAATGAAAAAATAAAGTTCCATCCTCAAGCCAACAACATCAAAAACAGATGATATAAACAAAACTAATAAAAACAACAACAAGAACAACTATATGAACGCAAAGAGAAACATCAAACGAAATCTTTTGATGTTGCCAATGAACTAACCCCCGATGATGATCGTTGAGATTCTGGTCCCTGGAAATACATCAAAGCAAAGAGTTATGCCTTAGTGTGACCGGTATTTAAGGCAGACGAAAGAAAAGTGGGGAATAAGAAACTTGTATACAACAATAAAAACAAAAATCCATAAAGGAAATATAAGTGCCGGGAGCAGTGAGTGCTGTGGTGGCATAGCCAAACAAATTAAATGCCAAGTAGTTCAAAGTGAAATCGTTTTTTTTTCTTCTTCTTCGTTTTGTTTATTTATGAAATTAAAGAAGATCTGAGAATATACCGATCTGTGGATATCTACATGTGAGAACAAAAAACAACAATTATATCGGTTTGTGTTTACTTAAAAAATTATTAGCCAAAAAAGCAATAATAACAACAACCACAACAACAACAAAATAATAATCACATAAAAATAACAAATTAAGCCTTTACAAAATGAAATGATGTGTGGAATATAATGTATAAAAATAATTTTTAAAAGGAAAATTAAGAAATTTATATTTTCAAACAAAAATAAGTTTCTAAAATTAAAAAAATATATAATAATCAACATTATTTACCAAAATGTCAAACTCCACAGTGAGGTTAATGGCCCTAGTTGGCGGGCTGTTATTACTACTAACCTCTGAAATTGTGGCTTCCAAACTTTCCTTACCCTTAACGGGTAGCAATCATCATCATCACCATAATCAGCTGACCTCTTCGACCATACACCTTACCCCCAATGGATTACAATGTCAACGTATAACGGTCTCAGCATGTCATGGTGTTGGCTATAATATGACAGCCTATCCGAATTTAGCCGGTCATACAAATCAAATGGAAGCTGAACTTAGGGTAAGTCGATTTATAAAATGTACAAGGAAACCATTTCAGTGGTGAGAACAAAAAAGTTCAGAAATCTTATAGGACTTGAAGCGTCATTCTGGTCTCAATTTGATATGTTGTGCAAAATTTTATGGCAAACTTTAGGAGTATAATGCAACATTTACCTAAAATCGGACGATCAATTACCTAAAATATGGGAGCTATATCTAAATCCAAACTGATTTTCACGGAACTTAGCGTCATTCTGGTCTCAATTTGATATGTTGTGCAAAATTTTATGGCAAACTTTAGGAGTATAATGTAACATTTACCTAAAATCGGACGAAGATATATATGGGAGCTATATCTAAATCTGAACCGATTTTAACGAAACTTGGCAAACATCATTCTAGACCTTATTCATTACTATGTGCCAAATTTCTTGCAAGTCAAAAGATTTCCAAGGACTTTAGTGGATTATTTTATCTAACCATTTTCTCAAAACTTTTCACACATCATTCTAGACTTAATTCAGTACACTATGCCAAAATTCGTGCAAATCATTTCCATATGGATTATTTACCAAAAATCGGGCGAAGCTATATATGGGGGCTATATCTACATCTGAACCGATTTTCACGAAACTTTGCACATATCATTCTAGACTTAATTTAGTACGTTGTGCCAAATTTCGTGCAAATCGAAAGATACATAGAGACTTTGGTGCACCATTTACCTTAAATCGGACGAAGATATATATGGAAGCTATATCTAAATCTGAACCGATTTTCGCGAAACTTTGCACACATCATTCGTGACCTTATTCATTACGCTGTGCCAAATTTCGTGCAAATCGAATAATATATAGGGACTTTGGTGCACCATTTACATTAAATCGGACGAAGATATATATGGGAGGTATATCTAAATCTGAACCGATTTTTCCCAATTTCAATAAGGTTCGTCCTTGGGCCAAACAAATGAGCTGTGCCAAATTTCATCCAATTCGGATCATAAATGCCACCTGTACTTTGTTTACAATTTAACATGAACAGACAGACAGACGGACGGACATGCATAAATCGGCTTAGAAAGTGACTCTATGCATATTCTCAAAAGGAACCCTGTGTCTATCTTCCTGTTTCCTTTTTGCCTGTTACAAACATATGCACAAAGACATAATACCCTGTACCACAGTGTGGTGAAGGGTATAAAAATTGGAGCACATTTCATTTTCGACGAGAAGACCAAGAATACCCCGATAGTGAGATTCCTAGCAGTAGTTTACCCTATAAACGACCCTCTATCTGCAGAATACATCTGGACGGTATTTGTGTATATAGGAGGGCACTAGACCACAAGGCAAATACCACCCTTTGTACGCATTTACGATACCTATTGAGTGTATTCTTCCTATATGAGAAGAAATAGAGAAGATATTATTTCTATGCAAGGCATTCAGAAGGAGATCCAGGTCTGGCACCTCCAGAAGAAATTTTTGAAATTTCACCATTGATGGCCTCTAGAAGGTCTTACATATAGCCGAACTCGCAATAGAGTCTCGAATAATTTGCTAAAAAATACAATTTTCTATGGTAGATCTCAGTATTTTATCAGTTTAAGTTTTTTCTATTTTTAAAAAACCTCTTCGACTCTGTAGAACACCTCTTGGAGGTCACTTGACCTCTACAATATCCCCTAGATTTAAAAAGGAGGTTGAAGTTCTTATATTAAAAAAGGAACAGCAGAATATCCTTTATTTATTGAAGACCTCTATGCAGCTCTCATAAGAACCTCCAATAAATTTATGAATTTTTTTCTATGTAATCTCTAAATTAAGCGTTAGGAAATGATCTCATTTTTGGTTGCTGGCCACCACAGCTAATGTATCCGGAAAAAATTCAGAACCAAAAAAAATATTTATGAGAAAGAGAAATGGTTATTTAACACGCATGCGTGAACGCATTTTTTTGTTAAGAGCTAACAAAAAAAGGGGAAGTGTATTTTAACAGCTGTCAACAGTGGTGGCCAAAAGTAGTGCTAAGTGCTAAATCGTACAGCAATTTTTTGTAGTTATTTATATACCTAGCACCACAAGTTGAAGTGTATATTAAATTTATTGGCAACACCTCGAACTATTCACCAGGGATCTCTGGTGAATAGTTCGAGGATTAAATTATATTCTTGATCTGAATATATCAGTTTTTGAAGGTGCCACAATCAGAGGTCTTTTGAAGGCCTGAAATCAAAAATGTGCTTTGAAGTTTTACATATGCTTTGTTTCTGCTCTGGGTATTGAAAATTGTATTCTTCGGTCCATGTAAATATATCATAAAGGTATTTTGAGGGTCAGAGGCACATTTTCCAAACAAAAGTGTTGTAATTAGGCATTTTGCTTTCTTAGAGAATTGCATTTTAGCACATAAGAAATATATAAGTCGTTTAGTTGAAAGTGGTTTAAGTCAATTTTTTCTTCATTTTGTTAAGATTTGTTTTTAAAATATTGTTAAGTGGTATAAATTTTGTTAGTGGCTTTGTGTCCTTAAACATGATAGAAAACCAAAATATCTATCGGAACATAAAATGGACTTAAACAACATTAAAAATAAACGACTCATATATTAATATAGGTCATATTAGGGTTTCAGCTCTTTTGAAAGCATTACAATTTTCAATATCGGTCATACAGAGGTTCCGGGTTCTTTTGGGTTATTTGAAGGCCATACGACCATTTTACAACCACATAGAGAATGCCTTAAGACCATTTTACAACCAGGTAGAGGTACCTCATCGATTTGGAGTATTTTGGAGCTTTTAGGATTATTAGTGTATTTTGGTATTCCCATTTCCTGAAAGCAAAGAAAAACTTTTCCAGAGAAATTTTTCAGTACACATAAGTCATTGTTCTGACATAGCCCCCTCATAGAGGTTGCTCTAAATTAAGGGATGTCGAAATGAAGCGTCTGTAATTTGAGATTGAGAGAGGTTTCCTGACCTAATTTACTAACCTAAGTCTTTTCGGGGTAATTGATTAATTTGATCAAAATAAAATATAGTGCTATTTAATTAAACCCAACTGTATGGTGTTCAACAGAAAAAAAACACATCTCATCATTGAGCCAGCCACTCATCTTCCTATAATAAAGTGTCAGTTCAATTCACTGTTTATTTTTATGTTAGGTTTTTTTCTAAAACATATTTTTTGTACCGCATTTTGTTGTTGTTGCTTTTATTCATCGGCGAGTTCATCTATTTTATCCAGCCATCCATCCATCCAAATGTCCAAGCGAACGAACTAACATCGCATGTCTGTCTGCCCGTCTGTCCTCTTTCAAATGGCCAGCTTAGGAAAAAAGTGTTTGGCACAAATAATGCCATGGCATTGTTTATTACGCTTCTCTGGCATAGTAGAGTTTTTTTTCGCATTCATAGTTTCAATTTTTTTTTTTCATTTTGTAGATTCTCCGATGTTGGAGTTTTGAAAACGACCCGTGATGGTTGTTTTGCCAGTTTTCATATCAAAAGTGCGGCTTTTAATGTGAGTGAGTTTATTTCAAGTGGCCTCAAAAAACGAAAAAAAACCCAAGCGAAAAAAAACTATTTTTTTTCTTACTGATTTAGATCTCTTGTTCGGAGATAAGCTTTTGTGGTTCGTTTACTTTGCGCTACGACGCTATGTGGAATGGCAATAAAAATAATTCTTAGAAGTTACGTGTTTTGTGATGTTTATTACAAATTTTATACTTTGCTGAATATTTTTATTTCGGTTTCTTTTTTGTTTTTGTGTGAGTTTGGTTTATTTTGTCTTATTCTTCATCGTAGTCTATGATTACTTTTGATAGTTACACTATTTTGCATTTTATTTGTAAGTCCGCCTGAGCCTGTTTTTTATTGCTATTTTGCCTCTTATTAGAGTGTTACGCATCAGTAACATGCATTGTCTACGAAGAAGAAAGAAATTCAGAGGAGGTATTCTTAATATTGGACTTCTATGAAATGTAACTGCGACAAATCTCTACTTACAGAAGATCGAGAACAAATTTTGCCTATAGCTCCTAAATTTTCCGAAATCTTAGTTTCGATAAAATATAGGACCCCTATAACTTGCTCTGATAATACTCCTCGGCACACATATTTTTTGTTTATCGCATTTCTATAGCAACCCACCTACTTCCTCAAAACCATAACTATAATTTGTTTTTATTCTAATAATTCCACCCTCTTTCACGGTCATGTAATATCAACCCCTATCATATTTTCTTTTGTATGCAAAACAATTCCCTAATTATTTAATCTTTGTAAACTGGGAAGGTTCACTAAACTTTCCCGGGAAGGGAAATGCCCTTTTTGCTTTCATCAAAAAGAAAATATGAGGGGTCTCTATTATTCGTTTCTTTTTTTGTAATTTGCTTAAAGATAATATGAAGAGGGAGCTATGAGAACATCATCGATATGATAAACAAACAACTACAATGTGAAGTGGAAAATACAAAAACAACAACAACAACAGCAGCATGAACAAGAATTGTTTAAGTATTTTTTAATTATGAAAATGCAAACAACACACTACATCACATTACTGATAACAGTACTGATGATATTACAATGACAACTTCACTTCGCAAGATCCAGTTCCCTAATGGAGGGAGCCATGGAATGTCTTCTTGTAAATATAGTTATCTTGGAATTGGTGCCAAAAATCAACAGCAGCAGCAACAACCCGACATTTAATTGATTTTCAATGTAAAGACGACAATTTGTTTGCATGGCATGTTTTCTTTGCGATAAGGAAAACACAGGAATGAGAAGGTGGATTGTTAAAGATGTGGGCTCCACTGTACGTTTCAATAAAAAAAAACAAAGTTTCCCCCCTTATAGATTTTCAAGAAAATGTTTACTTTCTTCTGACGTTGCAAATATGTAGGCTCCACTGTACGTTTCAATAAAAAAACTAGTAAGGAAAGTAGTAGTCGGACGGGGCCGACTATATGATACCCTTCACCACTATGGGTATATTAAACAGATGCATC